GAAAAAATGCAAAAATTTAAAATCAAAAGAGAATACAAGTGAATGGGACATGTAGAGAAAATAAAAAGAAGGCCTTGAAAAAATAAGTACCAAAAATCATAAGAGAATCTACCTACAATTATAGAGAACATAACAGACATAAAAATAGAAAAAATTACAAAAAAAAACAAACCTTTCAATCATCCAGACCAAGGCTCATTCAGACCATTTCTAAAAAGGTAGAAGAGAGAAGAAAAAGTTTTACAATCAGTTTTCTTTAGGTCCCCAATAAGATTATTTAGCCACTAACATAGCAATTAAAGTTGCTACAATTTACAATTTATGCCAATATTAAGTCAATATTGAGTATATTCGAATTTTATGAGTACATTGTCTGTACACTTACATAACGATACAAGGATTACCACGGACCACATTCCATATATCGTATATTGGCATAATTTATAAGTTACAACAACTGTAATATCTCTGTTAGTAGTTAAATAACCTCATCGAGAACCAGTCGATGAGCAGAAAAGTGTAGCGATTGAAACCGGTTGTCTAAGGTACTATGAAACTGATTTTAAGTATTTTCCTGTTCTTTCTGTTTTCTTATTAAGAAATTATTAGTCTATGTACAGAATATTTTCAGGAAGGAATGACAATAAAATAGAGATGAATAAAAGAATAAAAGCAACTAGGAATATGATAATGAAAACCAACAGACAAACGACAAAAAAAAAAGACCTAGAACTCAGATAATTGGACGATTTGGATAAGAACGATTTGAACTTGAGAAGGATGAATGTTACAGAATGTGACTTTAAAATCAACAATGTATACTGTTGTAATTTTTGCGATATGAGGTTCTCCTCTTGACTTCTATTCTTGGGAATTTGTATCGTTGCAAGGTATTTTTCTGCTGCTGCATATGAAATTTGTAAATGAACGGCTTCCTGGTAAGATTTCTACGCTACTTCTCTCCTTTTGAACTCATCGAAGTGCATACTGGAGACTAAAATTACGTTTTCTCCCCTCTCTTCGGCACATGCCATACAATGGTACAATCTATACTAAAACCAAAAAAGTTAGATTGTATTGGTCTGTTTGCCGTACTCAGGTGGTAGTTGACCTTTGTTTCTTCTGATTTTTCCTACATATGATAGTCTGTTTTTTTTTTCAAATCACTGACGAGAGTTAGATCGATGAACCAATTATCAGCAGTGATATTTCGTCCTGAATTATAGACAGGTTCAGCTAATCTCTTGACCACATCTACTGGTTTATTGCTGACACGAAATTTACCTTCAGGCTGTAGTCCTACATAAATTTCCATACTGCCTGTGTAAAATAGCTTAGAATCAACCATGGAAAAAATTTTAATCCCATATTTGTTAGGTTTTGATGGGATATATTGCCTAAATCCGCATCTACCCCGAAACCTTGCCAACGTCTCGTCTATAGTTACGTTTTGTCCCATAGAGTATCCTTTTTTGCAATTTTCTACAAATAGTGAAAATATTTATTTAACAGCTGACAACTTATCAATCTTTAGTCGATCTGGTTGAGTCGTCTTATCATCGAATCTTATACAGTTGTGAATAAATTTGAATCTTCACATTGACATCGTAAGTCTAAATAATTCAATTCCACTACCATCTGTTGCCCATAAATCTTCCAAATTTAGTCGATTACTGCGGTGTAAGCCTGCTAAATACAAAAGGCCCAAAAATGATTTTAGTTCTTTTTGTTGGTTTGTTTAGCATCTTTTTCTCTGGAATATCTAATTGAAATAGAGTCTATATATTTATTTGTATAATGTAAAATTAAATCTAAAAGTTCTTCAGACATGAAACAGCTCCAGCATTCATATTCAGTTTTTGTATTTTTGCAGTATTCCTTACTAGAGGCAATTGACACAGAATATTTTGTTTCTGTCGCCTAATTTTATTTCCGTAAACTGACTTTTTTCCCACTTTCTTACTTTGTCTTTTCCGAAAAAATACTCCCGTTTTCATATACGTTCTCTTCGCTCTTCTCACTAGAAATGTCTTGAGAAACATAGTCTAAAGCTCGACATTTTGACTATAATATAGATCACACAACAAAAGAAACAAGAAAAAATATATGTTCAATCTGCGAGGTCGCGGTATCTGTCAGATACAACTGTTGTTCGGTTACGACAAACGTTCACTTCTCAACCACTAGAAATTACCTGAAAGGCGACATTTTGTATTTCCCCACTCCTAAGACATAAATAAGAAGCTAGACAGTGCCGTAGAATTATACGATGCACTTCTTTCAAAATATTTATAAAAATGTTTTCAATGTATCTCTCAGATCAGCCGCGACTTTCGAAGGGTTAATATCAATAGTGTTTTGTCGTTTTCACTAATTCGTAAAAATAATGAAAAACAGTGTATCTGATGATATTTGTGGCAAATACCTGCATTTTTTTTGTTTTTGGTAATATAATAAAAATTGTTGACAATAAAAGTTGTTGTTGTGTTTTAACTTGGATGATTTTTATTAGAATAGAATAGAATAGAATAGAATAGAATAGAAATATGCTTTATTGTCACTGAAAATTATTGAACAATTTTATGGACAAAGCTAAAAAATGAATCAGTCAAATAGTACAAAAAGTATAAAACAAAAAAAAATATAGTAAAAAACAGAATAACACAATTTTAAATTAGTAAAATTATTGTATCACCTACATAATTTGTACAGACGAACAACAAATGAGACAAATTGTAGCCACTGCTTGAGACACCCAAATGTAATTATAAACAGTACTAATTTTGTTTCTTTGTTATACATTAAGAAACTCGTCAACTGAATATATGGTCTTTCTGAGAGACAGATTTTTGTCACCTTACGAAACTTAATGAAGGATGTTGCGGATTTAATTTCTCTTGGAAGGTGATTATAAAGTTTCTTTGCACGATATAGAATAGAATTCTTTACTAGCTGAGTGGACGGGATCGGCAAATAAACGTTACAATCCGAATTTCTAATGGAGTAGCCATGGTCAGGTCTATCGGGAAAAATGTTTAGATGCTTTCGAATCAAACAAACCGTTTCCAAAATAAATAAAGAGGGAAGCCTCAAAATTCCGTGATTTTTGAAGTAGGTCTTGCAATGAGTTGTTTGTTTGAGACCAAATAGATAACGGATTGCTCTTTTTTGCAACTTAAAAATAGTATCAAATTGGGCCGCTGTACTAGAACCCCAAAATGGAAGCCCATATCGAAGATGGGACTCGAACAATGAGAAATATGCCATTTTGGCAGAAGATAAATTTAGTTCCTTCGAAACAGATCTTATTGCAAAGCAAGCTGAGGCTAGTTTCTTCCTTAAGGAGTCAGTATGCAAGGACCATTTGAGATCACTGTCAATGAGAATACCTAGAAATTTCACGGAATTTACGATATTGATTTGGCTCTCATTCAAAAGCAAGGGTTGCATGACTCCTTTATAAGATAATGCTACAGTCTTATCCACGTTAAAGCTAAGTTGGAGTCTGACCAAGCCTTGATTATAAGTAAATCAGCGGTTATAATTGAATGAAGCGTTGAAATATCAGAGCTGCTCCAAGTAATACTGGTATCATCAGCAAATAGAAAAATTTCCCTTTAATTTTCAAGTAAGTGATGTCATTAATGAAAAGTAAAAAAGTCGGTGTCATTTATTCTAACCAATTGTTTCCTACCTACCAAGTAAGTTTTGAACCAGTTCAAAGACACACCCCGAATTCCGTAGAAAGTTAATTTTTTTTAATAGAATGTCGTGATTTACGCAGTCAAAGGCTTTGGAATAGTCGCAGAAAAAGGTGGCGGAGGAGAGGTTACTGTTTAGTGATAGATATACATCATGTAACACAGAAAATATGGCATCACTAGTGCATTTATTAGACAAAAAGCCGAACTGATTTTGCGATAAAATATTATATTTAAGGAGAAAGGGCATAAGTCGAACTTTTATAAGTCTTTCAATAATTTTGATAGTGCTGGTAACAAGGCAATAGGTCTATAGTTGCAGGCATCAGATTTTTCTCCACCTTTATGAAGAGGAATGACGATGGCAGTCTTTAGGCAGTTAGGGAATGTACCTTTTTCAAGGGAATCATTTACTAGCGAGACCATGACCTCCAAAACATTATGCGGTAGATTTGAGAAAATTTTAATAGATAATCCATCTGTACTACAGGACGATGTGCTTTTTATACTACGAATTGTTGAAATGAGTTCCGTCTTATCAACTGGTCTTAAAAAGAAGGTATCAGCAATGTTTTTTGAATTAGAGAGATAGGAAACTGGATCTTGTTGTGGCGAAATAGTTGAGGTTATATTTTTACTCACATTAACAAAGTAATCATTTAGATTTTCGGGGTTAGGAAAAGAAAAGGTTTGATCCGCTGTACTGGTTTTATTTCGAAAATCGTTTATTATTGACCAAGTTTCTTTTGAAATGTTTTTGGAGCTTGTTAAGCGATTATGAAAGTAGGATTTTTTGGCTACTTTGAGTAGTTTTATATAGCATTTTCTGTACTTGTTGATATAATCAGAGATGAGGATACTGTCATTAAATTTTTTAATATATAGCAGAAAACCATTACGACGACATTATTCTGTCAAACATTTCCACGATGTCGTAACGATGTTTTGTAAAGATCTGTTAAAAATTTATTACCTAATTTAAAATTTTTAAGTAACTTTTATAAAAGACGAACAAAAATACCTGATTATTTTTATTTTATTGCATATAGTTAATCTATATTTTTCAGAAAGGTTAATGAAGACACGCTAATACACGCTTTACATAAGGTTAAGTATATTGTAAATATTTAACATGTTTAGTTGATCTAACAACTCGTAAAATAAAAAGAGAAAATATATTTGTCACATTAATTTAAATTTCCAAACAAATCTAGAAGCCGACTCTGTCTTCTAAATAGCTCAGATCGTTCCCTACATTTATGCAACTCACACACCACAGCTGTATTTAATGTTGCCTACCTATTAGGAGTCATATCCTGCTGCGGCTGCGGCGCGACTCCGTGTCTGCTGCAACTCTTGGCGGCTTGTTTATGTCTCGAAAGCGCGAAGAACAGGGCCAGGATGGCCTTCAACTTGCCGTCGCGCAATTCTTGCGCCGAAACATTCTCGATGCCGGCGACATGCTGGCTACGCAGAAACGACAGACAGGCGTTGATGTTCTCCAACTGAAAAGAAAAGGATTGTTTAGTAGACGGCATCAATCATGCGGAACAACACTATCGGTGATCAGATAAATATAATGACAGGAATGAAATAGAAAATAAAAGTCTGGGTTATTCCGGTAAATTGGTCGTTTTTATAAATATTCATTTTTTATTTTTGTAATTATTAATTTATTTAACGTACTTTTTACATCGCAAATAAGTTATAGAATAGAATAGAAATATGCTTTATTGTCACTGAAAATTATTGAACAATTTTATGGACAAAGCTAAAAAATAAATCAGTCAAATAGTACAAAAAGTATAAAACAAAAACAAATATAGTAAAAAACAGAATAACACAATTTTAAATTAGTAAAATTATTGTATAACCTACATAATTTGTACAGACAACAACAAATGAGACAAATTGTAGCCACTGCTTGAGACACCCAAATGTAATTATAAACAATACTAATTTTGTTTTTTTGTTATACATTAAGAAACTCGTCAACTGAATAATATGGTCTTTCTGAGAGATAGATTTTTGTCACCTTACGAAACTTAATGAAGGATGTTGCGGATTTAATTTCTCTTGGAAGGTGATTATAAAGTTTCTTTGCACGATATAGAATAAAATTCTTTACTAGCTGAGTGGACGGATCGGCAAATAAACGTTACAATCCAAATTTCTAATGGAGTAGCCATGGTCAGGTCTAGTCGGGAAAAATGTTTAGATGCTTTCGAATCAAACAAACCGTTTCCAAAATAAATAGAGAGGGAAGCGTCAAAATTCCGTGATTTTTGAAGTAGGTCTTGCAATGAGTTGTCTGTTTGAGACCAAATAGATAACGGATTACTCTTTTTTGCAACTTAAAAATAGTATCAAATTGGGGCCGCTGTACTAGAAACCCCAAAATGGAAGCCCATATCGAAGATGGGACTCGAACAATGAGAAATATGCCATTTTGGCAGAAGATAAATTTAGTTCCTTCGAAACAGATCTAATTGCAAAGCAAGCTGAGGCTAGTTTCTTCCTTAAGGAGTCAGTATGCAAGGATCATTTGAGATCACTGTCAATGAGAATACCTAGAAATTTCACGGAATTTACGATATTGATTTGGCTCTCATTCAAAAGCAAGGGTTTTATGACTCCTTTATAAGATAATGCTACAGTCTTATCCACGTTACAGCTAAGTAAGTTGGAGTCTGACCAAGCCTTGATTATAAGTAAATCAGCGGTTATAATTGAATGAAGCGTTGAAATATCAGAGCTGCTCCAAGTAATACTGGTATCATCAGCAAATAGAAAAATTTTCCCTTTAATTTTCAAGTAAGTGATGTCATTAATGAAAAGTAAAAAAAGAATGGGACCTAATACTGAACCTTGCGGTACTCCACACTCAATATCTTTACAACTAGAGTTGGTGTCATTTATTCTAACCAATTGTTTCCTACCTACCAAGTAAGTTTTGAACCAGTTCAAAGACACACCCCGAATTCCATAGAAAGTTAATTTTTTTAATAGAATGTCGTAATTTACGCAGTCAAAGGCTTTGGACTAGTCGCAGAAAACGGTGGCGGAGGAGAGGTTACTGTTTAGTGATAGATATATATCATGTAACACAGAAAATATGGCATCACTAGTGCATTTATTAGACAAAAAGCCGAACTGATTTTGCGATAAAATATTATATTTAAGGAGAAAGGGCATAAGTCGAACTTTTATAAGTCTTTTAATAATTTTGGATAGTGCTGGTAACAAGGCAATAGGTCTATAGTTGCAGGCATCAGATTTTTCTCCACCTTTATGAAGAGGAATGAAATATATAAAGAGTTGTGTATATAAATAGAATAAATATTACCTTACAAATAATGCAATTACTATTTTTATTAGGAATAAGCAACAAGTTTAAAATAAGTTTGTTTTTGACGTTCCAAAAAACGCTGATTTTTATTATTATTTTTTAATAAACTTATTTTTATTTGTCAACTTTTTATTGTCGGGAAGTAAGGGAATATGGAGGTGTAATTTTTAGCGATAATAAAATCCCTACACGACCAGTTTGCTTAAATGATATATACAGTAAATTAAACAAATTTTGTTTTTTGTTACATAGTGAAAAATTCATCTAATAATTTAATTTTATCTGACTCATTTATATTGACAATTCAGACATACATTATGCATTTTAAAGTAGACGACTTTAAAATGATATTGCCAATATTGTTGAGTTGCGCTCCTGGGACGACTTTACTTATAAAATAGTTCATTCGATTACATCAAATCAACTTTAACTTTAGAATATCCGTCAGAAAAAAATCATAGCATGTAATTCGTCTTTAAAAAGACAAACACATGACATGATGACAGTAAAATTCTCCTGTTAGTGATTCCATAGTAAATTATGAGGGAAAAACCAGGAAAAAAACCTCATAATACTATCCCGACATGGTAAGTATTTGTTCGTGCATTTAGTTTGCCTTCAAGAAACACCAAAATTCTGATTTTATATGTTTCGTTATTTAAAAAACATAAATGATGTATCCTCTATATGTTACTGACTTACTAATACTGGTATTTTCTTGTTAATAATTTCCTCTTATAATATTGGTAACCAGATCCTACTACATTCTGCCGAGGAATTTGCGACAACAATTGGCCTCATTTAGCATAATTAGAGCCGCTTCTTTGATTTTTCTTTTTTTAACCATCCGTCTCTTTTAGGACTACATTTGAATTATTCTATTGAACCCTATGTTCATTATCCCATGCGTGTTTACATATTTGAGATCTATCAAATTCTCTATTTTTAATATAAGACTGATGTTCACTTATTCTAACATTTAATGGCCTTGATGTTTCACCTAAATAAAACTGATCGCATTCACAAGGTATTTTATAAAACGCAATTCTTTGTCCTTTCTATTTCATCGTTGGGTTTGGTTTTGGACAAAATAGATCTCAACGTGTTTGTTGTTTTGAATGTTGAATTTATTGCCTATTCTTTTAAGTTTTTCTGATAATCCTTTTATGTACGGTATTGTTATTTTCCTCGTATTCTTCATTGTGTATGCTGTAGGATCTCGTTCTAAGTTGTTCTGTTCTATTTGATCGAATATAAACGATAAAGAATAATCATTTTTTAATAAAACAGATGTTAACAAATGTTTCTCCTCCAAGAACGAATTTGACCATTTCTTAAAAACTGGATTTCTTGTGAGCGACACTAGAGCTCTTTCACACAAATCTTTTCTACTGTCTTCTATTTTGAACCTAAATCCAATCTATTTGAAAACTCTCCAGAGATTTATCCTAACAGTTTCGAGTGTATTTTAATTTTTTTAATACCGTCTCTAGATAAACATGTTCTTTCTTATACGCATTTTATATATAACTATAATGTTGTCCATCACATGCGACGAGAGGTCCAATCAATTGTCATCTACAGTCACTCTTTAAATGTTTAATACATTGATTATAATTATATTGATATGTACACAAAAATCTTAAGTTCCTATCACATTTCTAACACAAATTCTACGAACTAGTGGCGAGATCCTGTTAGTAATAAAATATTCAAGGAATTTATTAACATCAGGATGGAAACGCGTACTCTACCATAAAGATTCGAGATAAAACATTATGAGCATAGCTACATTACTAATCGTTGACTACACTCAGAAACCGTACACATTTAAAAGCTTTCTAACCAAAGTTTTACTGCTATCGAGAAGCACTTTTACTGTAATTGCGTTTCCTTGATTTTGTCTTATATGCAATACTTGGTTCTTAAGAGGAGAAAATTTGGAGTTAGATTTTTACTTATATTAAAAATTTGAAAGAAAATACTATAAGTATTGTTACGACAGTTTTGTAGGGTTTATTCCATAAGAAAAGTCCCTTAACGAAAAAGAAGAAGTATTAGAAATCTATAATATTCTAGATGTCATCGAAATATCCCCAAATGTCTCAAGTAATGGATTCGACCGTTACTTGATGAAAATTTATTTTATCTAACAATAAAATACTGAAAACTTTTGTTTTCATCACTTCCACAAAAATTATTATAATTTGTTATCACACAGCTGTTTCGGCAAAGTGCCTTTGTCGAGTGATATATTTTTGATATGCTTTTACACTTTATAGTCTTAAACTAAATAAGTTGCGGAGGGAAGTGCTGTTTGTCTTTAGATAGTCATTCAGAATTATGTCTGTATTTTTTTATTTCTTAATATCCATAGCTTCTAATAAAGATAGATTAAGACCTTTATTTTTCTAATATTGAAAGCCCTTTTATGTCCTGCTATACGTTTGTTAAAAGTTCTACCAGTTTGACCGATGTAAGTTTTTAGGCAGTCGCCACATTTAAGTTTGTATACATCAATATGTAAATGCTTTTTCTTTTGACACTTGTTATATATTAAAGCTATTGTTTGTTCTGACAGCTGGTGTTATTTCTTTTATTTTTATGTGTTTGGATATTGTTGATATCTTGACTGGATATATAATCGAGAATGACGTACTAGGTTATACTGAAAAGCCTCATGTACTGTTCTCAATAAAAATCAAGACAGAATTTCTCAATGATGTCCAAGGCCCCATGTTTAACGCAGAAATTCAGAAGAGATGGCCTAATTATTATTATAGATATGTTTACCGATGGTTCAAAAAAGGGAAATAACACTGCTTGCGCAGTATACCAACAGTATTCTGGACAACATCATAAATATAAATTACCTCATGAAGCCTCCATCTACACATCTGAAATGCTGGGTTTAAAGTTTGCTCTTTCTCACGTTTTGACAAAGGAAATGAAGAACTGTGTAATATTTACAGACAGTAAAACTGCAGTAGAAAGATTATGTGAAACAAATAAATCCAAGCAATTGACTCATCTTGATATAGAGATATTAAAATTGTACTACGAGGTTTCAAAGCTCGGAGGAGAAGTTATCATCGCATGGATCAAAGGCCATTCTGGGATAAAGGGTAATATAATAGCAGATGTATTGGCAAAAGA